CTTTTAAGACTCGGTCATGGACATCACTACATGCCATTTATTTAAACCAGCAACCATTAAAGTCTACTGTACATGCATCCAACTTCAAAAGTACTTGAATAACGTGCATTAACTTCTGAACTAAAGAAGAGACCTTGCATTCACTAATGCAAGGTAACTTTACTTTTACAGGCAAAAATCACTGGATGCTAAAGTAAATGTCCTATTTTTTTTAATTGCTCCATTATAACAAATGCACATAAATGCATTCCAAGCTTAGATGGTGGATAGCCTAGACAGACATTCTCAATTGAACATAAAAGTTCTCACTTTAAAATCTAAGCATTGTAAAATGCAACTAAACTATAAGAATGCAAGATTAAAACAATGTGTGTGGGGGTGGGTAGTATGGTGGTAGTACAAGAACATAAATTTTGTCACTAGTTATATTTCTTGCAGATTTACAAATACATTCATATAACATGCTTGGTCACATTTTTGCTTCAAGATAAATTAAAAAACAAGGCATTACATACAACAATTCGTAAACCAAACCTTGGCCCACAGGAACATAGCGATTTGTGCACATAAGACCCTATAATTTTCCATGGGGCGGCCACCTTTCTGCGTTCCTGATCATTAATTAAAAGGCACAATCTCAAGTCAAACCTAAAAGGAATTCATACCATGAGGCCACAGGCCGTACAGGCAAGAACTGCTCATTCTGCTTTCTCGCTCCTAAACCCACTCTATTTCTCTGGTTTCAAATTACGGGATAAACTAAGGGGTGGCAGTGATAGTCAAGCAGTTGGTTTTATCCACACCCGAACAAACCATGGCAGATGCGGACAACTGATGCGCAAATGGAAAATTAAAAACTCTCCAAAATACGTCCGTGGTCATCCAGAACAGACCGTACAATATGTAACGACGCAATTCTCGATCCACAAATACAAAGGCAACATTACAGCGATACACTGCACTGCTCCTGACGCGGTTATCTGGCTTGACCCACCTGAATGTGAAATTATAGTTGCTGCTCAGCATTTACATCAGCCGTACGAAAGAAGAAGAAGTTGGTTTTATGGCAGCGACAAAGCTCTCCTTCGCAGTGTGCCCCAAATTACCCCATGCTCCTGTATCAGATGAAGTCCTGCATGCAATTTGAATTTTTTTGTTGGGGAGGGCAAGTAGGAAGCCTAGTTGTGGATGTGGGAGGAAGGGAACTGGATGGGGGAGGAGGGTAGGGGTTTTGAGGTCTGGAGGAGGTTATTAAGACCGAAAGCCATCGTAAAAATCACTGCACGCGATGGGAAGAAGCAAAGCAGAATGAAAGAAGGGGGGGGGGGAATTAGGCAAGGCGAACTCGTAAACCAGACTCATGCCAAACGGGAATTACAGACCACTTGTAAAAAACGAAAGTCACACCGGCACAATAGACAGCATAAATTGAAATATGTTAAGTCTCTTAACAGCGGAAAATTGTACTTTAATGCGATTTCATACAATAGTTGATTATTGACTGCTTGATAAATTGAAAAATGGAACGTGATATTTGGAAAACACTGAATGAAAAACGTTATTCAAATAAATAATATTTCTGAACTTGCATTTTCTATTTGACCTTTGAAGTGGAATATGTATGGATGCCTATAGGTGACATTTGTGTTAAATAATGACTAATAATGCTTGTAAGACCTTGAGGGGGTAAGTCTGTGTTCATGATGGACTGAGAGACATTTCTGGCTTGAAGTTACTTTGCACGGCATGGTCTGTTTAGAGGAGGGGGTTGCAGTTTAAACTTGAACAGGAGCCAGGAAGGCTGTTCCCTGAGGGTGTGCGTGTGCTGTGTTGGGGAGGGGGGTGCTGGTGGAAAGGATTGGGGTTGTGTGGGGAGGGGAAGACTGACAAGGCGAGAACAACACAGGCAAAGCAAAGGGAGAGTAAGGGAAAAGGAAAAAAATATATATGGCTAAAAAAAACAAAAAATAGTGGCGCAGACCAGGAATGTGCAAGGGTGCCAGTGCTACCCATTCAATGGTCTTGTGCAAATGGCAGCAAACCTTTAAAGCAGGCACAATTGTCGAAAACGCCAAAACTTTCCACAGAAAAGTCATGTGACAAAACTGATCCCGCACGACCAGGCAAGGCGACAGGATGGAAGTACTCTAGCCTCATTGTTTCCGCAAGCCGCTTTTCCCGTTCAAATCCCCAAGGGAATGGTGGGAGGAGTACTGAGACCATGCGATTGTACCAACCAGAAACTGCTGTCTTCACTTTATCAAGTTAGTCATGGACCCAAGAGAGAATTGGACCGAAAATTCTATACACACAGTAGGCCACACCAGTTTCCTACCTTAAAGCATTTCCTAAATATGAATGAATCACCCCTGAAAGTTGGCAATCAGCATGAGTATTTTTTTTTTCAAAATGAAAGCACAGAGAGACTGCCAATATCATTTGGTGCCACTTAGTTAATCCTGTCGCACAATCTGTAGTGGGAAGTCATTTTAGGTCTGCAGTGTAAATTAACCCACGGAATATTAAGCCAAGTATGACCAACCTCATTCACGCACCCTGCCATGAAACTAATGCCTCATACACACGGGACTGCATTACCATGTGCTTATACTTAAGCGCTTTAGCAAACCATTTTTAGCCAACAAGGTTAACGTACACACATTTTTTTCTAAGTGCTTTAAATGCTGATCTAGTCCCAACAAGTGTTAACAGTTTAAATCATTCTGTTCCATTATAGTTAAATGTGGACTGCAAAACAAAGTACTGCGAACAACTGTCACCCTATATATTACAGCCGAATTCAACTACTTTACTTTAATCATCCACCACTTATTTCAGGCTTGCATGTGGCATGTTGAATTGTATAATGTGCAGTTTACAGTTAATTTTACAATTAAAAACTTGAGTTTCACTGAAGTGTACTTCGCTGCAAGACCTTCACTTTTGCGTGTTAGAGGCATACATTACATGCGTCCTATTGTTTATGTAAGGTGTAACGTTTATCTAAACTCGCATTACCAAAAACTGTTCTTTTTAGCAGACATGTAAATATTTAATTACCGTGTGTGTAAAACTTGTAGTGAATCTGCTATAATTATATTCAATATAATCTGTATAATTGTAAGAAAATACTCAAAACCATGCAGATTGACTATCAAATTTCAAAAACGAGTTAAACTTAAACCTTTGCAACATCTTACATGCGCAAATGAAACAAGTATTTATTTCAGCAATGAAGTATTTTTTGGCAGAATTATAATCTCCAATATCCTGATGATACGCCGCCCTTTTCATTTACTAAGCGGTAGTTCTAATTTTCAACTTCATTTCCTTTACTTAGAATTAGGCTGAACACGTTAAACATAATGTATATATATAATAAAGGTAAAAATGGTTTATATTCATTTTCAAACTTTTGTGCTCAAGGTCATTTACAAAGAGTATGGATTCCTGCAGTCACGAAAGCTTCAAATCTAGATTGCCTTAACGAAATTGCCCTGCAGTCTTTCATAATGCCTACAGACTATGCCCAAGCTGCTAAAATGGAGTAATAGATCCTATGCAAATTGAATCAATGGAAAGTCCTCCAACGTCTAGTCTATCCTGCTAACTAATATGAAGGGCAAAAACACGGCACAATTTCAAGTGCAAAAAAAAACCGAAGAACATAAAATAGATTGAGTAAATTGGTGCTTTCAACGTTTCTTCATTACTTTGTCTTCCAAAGCACATCATTTTGCAAACGATAAAGGACTCTGGTTCTCCATTCATTCGTCTCAGACTTTACAACTGTAGGTCATAAACCCTTCACTCACACACAGCATGAAATCTGTGTTATCCACTCCCTTCTGCCATTTATTAACTGGAGATTTTTTGCACTGTTTTTGACTGCTCCTACTGACATTATCATTCCTGGTTTATTCATTACACCCGTTTCACACCTAACTGTTAAACCATGTCCAGTCACCATAAACTCAAATTGATTAAACTATGTATAAGCTTCACTTTGGAATGAGGATTATACTAGTATGGTCACACCAGCTGAGCCAACAAAGTACGGCCCACACGTTCAATGTGTTTCAGTTATAATTCACACAACACTATACTTTAATACATGTATACTAAATTAAAACAATTAGTTCAAAACTGATAGCACAATGATCGAGGTAGTTTGCAAAAGTGGACAAAACCTTGACTATATTTGTAGCTTCATCACACGAATATGCAAGAATAACCAATTCTGTACATGTTCAAAGGAAGCAATGTTGCACACACACCGCACGAAGACACCCCAAACTCTTGAAAGAAATTACACAAAAACGCACATACACCCAACTGGCTGCAAGCCCCTCCCTTAACCAGACGCATGAAAGGTATGCGCGGGCGATTACAGGTAACCATCACCTGCTGTCCTTGTAATTACATGGCATGAGGGCGCCACGGCAATTATCTGTCCATCATCTTACTCTTGACACAATCCGGTTGTCTTCATTCCTCATCTCTCTTGCCTTCTCTTCAAACACGACGACGACCACTTATATTCTATCTCAGCGCTGTACTACTCTATCTTAACTACTCTATCTTAAAACTGTACTGAACGCGGTCTGAGCTGTCTCTCTTGTACACGTCAGTAAAAGCAGAAGGAAAAGTAAATGTAATTTATTTATTAATCCTTCTTGCAACCTCTCAACTCAACTTCACTTGCAGTAATCAGAGAGGGCATTTCATTGCCTCAGGAAAATGTGGTTTAAAACGCATACCCACAGCTTCCATGAAGTGCTATGCGGGTATGTCTGTACGTCTCAAAAATGCACAGCTACAAGCTGATATAGGCATAAGATAAAGAGAAGCATGAGGTGTACCATTCTCAATTATAATGCATCATTGTTTTTGCACGAGCTGCAGACATTTTGGATGTGCCAGATATTCGAAACTCTATCCATATCGACGCAATCCGATTCGAACGACCCATGCACGTAATTTGTATGTTAGATGCTTACCAGAAAACTGCGGTGGACTTTGTGAAGCTCCTGTTTCTGTAGATGAAGTTGTCGATTCAGAGAGATCTGTAACATTAAACAAGATATAAAGCTTTGTAAAACGTGATAACCAGGAATATGACGTAATGTCATTCTGTAGAAAAACAAGCAGTTATGAAATCATGAGGGGCAACAAACATTAACTCGACACATTCAATACTTGAACGGAAAGCAAGGTTTACGAATAAGACGATTAATTTAGAAAAAAAGTTTAAGAAGCAAGTTTCAAATATAGAATGCATTTATAGAAATGTTTCCATAAACATCAGGATGGATGTTCTTCATCACGTGTCCATCATCGTTCTAAAACAAACTGTGCTTAACTGCGTTGTGTTGGATTGGGAGATTGGAACATTTGGGGCAGTTGAGAGAAGAGGCGAGGTGGGGAAGAGGATGACTTCACTGAACTTACCCGTAGATTTACTCTGCTCCACCAGAGGGAAACGTGAGTAGGGAGGTGGGGGTGATTCTGTTAAAATGGTTGACAAAAACACATTTTAGAATGGAATATTAAACCACGTTTGCTTCACCATAAACACTTGTTTTCTAGCATAAAATAACACAATCAAGAGTACGCTTATAACGTATAAACTAAAACAGTAAAATACTCAAAGAATCACACTAAACGTGGCAACCACAGATACAGTGGAATATCAACAACTTTATATGGATGTGCACAGAAGGAATTTCCAACGGGCTGAAAAAACCCCCCAAACTTACCCCACAAAGCAAGTGAAAATTAGCTGGTAATGATAAGTGATAACGACCATAAGAGCTGACCACATACAAGAGGCAGAAAAAGGGATTATTGGGCATTTATCAGTCTGCCGTCTGTGGCTCTATTTTATATATTTTTTTGCTTAGCCTTGTTTATTCCACGCAAGAGCCAGACAGGCGGGAGAGAAGCATTAACCAAAACAGCCCGCTTTGTTATTCTTTGTGTTTGCTCTGCGTTTGTTGCGGGCAGTCCAAGGGGCAAAAGAGATTTCGGTCTCTCCCCAGATAAACAAAAGTCTCGGCTGGCGCCAGGCATGTATGCGCAAGTCTCTACTAATCGCTCAAACCCGACGTTTCCCTCCGCCTCCCGCCCACCCTTATCCCCAAACCCCACCCCCTCGCTAGGCCTCTCGCGCACAGCACGTTTCATGCCAAGTTCCCACCATTCCACCAACCCCAAAAAGAGAATCGGGGCTCAGGTATTTAAACACTCAGATCACCAAAAAAAAAAACGTTGAAATTCGGTCTCGTGGGTACACCGTAAAGGCACTGTACAATCACAGAATTTGTTTTGGAGGGGAGGGGAAAGGGCCCGCTGGTGGAGGTTTTTATGGCCAAGTGCTTGCGTTTGACAAAAAAAAGTTGTGGAAAGTTGAATTTACTACCGACGCTGGTGTAGCCATGTGAGCCACAGTTACACTTCGCTATAATTGAGGCGTCTTGATGCAACTGGACTCGCACCAACACGCCCCTGTTTCAAATGCAACGTGCTGTTAAGTCCCAGGCAAGACCCACCCACCTCACCCTGATGTTCAAAGAGCAATAAATAAAATGATAAGGTAGCGAGGAGACATTAAAAGGACAGCATAGGATTTTGTTTTTCTTCCATCAGATGACAAAAATGGTGATAGCTATGATTAAAAGAAAATGTGAACTCCAAAAGGAACGCAGCGTACAGTTATGCCCGAATGCATACAGTTCGATAATGGATTTTGGTTTGATGCCGGTTATGAAAGCGCATAACAATATTGAGCCAAAATATAAAACACCTGGATAACAACCGTTAGGAATATTATGTTACAAAATATGCATATGTCTTACACACTGCACACACCCAGTCTCTTAGCATAGCTGAATATTCTCACACCAGGGATTATATTTTATATACTATTTTGAGACTCATCACTTTAACGAGGAAATTCTGCATAACATTGATTCAGAAATTGAACATTTAAAATTGGAACCTGATACAGGGTTAGCAAGTAGATTTTTAAATATACATATACTGTATTTATAGAATGTTCTTTTGGACGTTTCATTTTCACAAACCATAAATTAAAGCTTAAGATGCAGTTCAACGTGTGTTTATCTGAATGAACGCCTTCATTCATTTGCAAATCTTTATGAAGTAGTGTAAGTGAAATAACATATATGCTTATGAAAAAGTGCAAATCATCATAAAAGCTTGGTTGTGTTACAAACACACATGATTAATTTTAAGCATACTGTATTGCTATAAAACTTATCAGCCCTGGTTGGCAAACACATTTGCACTGCAAAGGTTGTACAATTATATAATACTTTGTGATCCTAAGACCTTTCCCCAATCTCTATTGCAGTCATACTTTTGCATAACTTGCAATTGACCAAAATCTCCCAATCCATGACGCGGTAAATGCATCTAAAGTTAAATCATTGACGTGTGAAAGCTGCTGAACAATGCCGCAACCTCATTCTACATCTGCACATTGTTAATCCACTGCTAGATGAGGGCCTGCCAACCCCGTGCGGGTTGTGGGGGTATTTGACCATACTTCACCATACTGGTGAGGGTTGAAGATGGTGAGCATAAATCTGGAAGCATGGAATACAAGACAACTGATTTTGCTGTAATGCCCTTTGCTGCCCACCACGTAACCCGACAAAGCTAACAATCTGTTTTTGCATGGTGATCACCTACCCAAACACAATCAAAGCCCAACTTTGCTTAATTTTCGAGATCCGGTGAGATTGGGCTCATTCTAGGCGATTCTGTCATACGCAATCATTAAATTGCCAATTTATTTAATGCTAATGTCGTCGTCCTCTTCGTCTCCAGAAAGGTCTTACATCATGATGTGTGTCTAATACCATTAATGAATGAGTGGGATGTCAGAGGAAACCAGAGTACCTGGAGAAAACTAAAAAAAAACATACAAAAAAGGAAAACATTCAGCACTGCCATCCCCTGACCACAACTAAAAGCCCCATGCCTAATACACCTGGCAAATACTGGCAGTAGCCCATCCAAATAACCAGGCAAAACTCTGCTTAGCTCCAAAGGTCTGACAACACCAGCATATTTTAGCACGATTTTGTCATAGACATTTGCCTGCATAGTCCACCAGAGGCCAATAAAAAGGCCCAACGAACCTACAGCAATTCCTCTTGTAAGATTTTACACCATAGGTTATGCCAAGATAAAATCACATTTTCCAAAACGAGCCTAACACATTTGTCCAAAATCGTATCTGAACTCATCTTTCCCATTTTTTTACCTTCTTACTTTTAGACTAAAGGCACGAGGCAGCACAGAAAAAAACAATACGTCTGTGGCATTTACACAACTTTAAACGTTGGATAACCGGACCATTTACAAATGTCGCACATTTTTTCATGTTCACATTTGCGTTGTCCGATTAAAAATATGAATGTCTCGTTAGCAAACAAGGCACACGTGATATTTGTCTGTCCTACACGCTACAAACACGCTGCAGAGTGTTTATTAAGACTATTTGTAATAAACTTTAAACACAATGGATGCATCGCAAAAAGTGCGACCTGGCAGCACAACCCTACAGTTACACATGAAATTCTTGGGAAAGTTTTCTTTGGCATGTCGCTTTGAACCCAAACGCCTCACTGGGTAAGCAAATACTTTGCCTTTCATACCTGCTGAGAGCATCCTATATTTGGGTTTCTGTGGTTGTGAACAACCTAGCAGACTTACATATGCACAAATACAGCTGATATATAGAAAACAGTATGAGTAACACCAAATAAGATTTCAGCACACATTTACAATTTCAGTCGTCATTTGAGGTATTGCTTTGGCACACAATTGTTCCCCGTTGCTTACTAGATTACAATAAATTGGATTTCAGAAACCAAATGTATGGGTATATATTTTTTAAACTATCGTTAATAATAAAAAAATACAATATAGGCTGGCACGATACAATCTTACTTTTGACAATTACTAAAATAATACCAGAGCTAAATTTTGATTTAAAGCTTTCGTGACTGCAGGGATTAATATTCTTGGTTCTTTCGGTAAAGTCACGTAGAAGGGAAATAATAAAATAATCAAACAATTAAATTCTCACGACGTTTCGACTGCAACACAAGCAATCATCATCAGATGTGAAATCCACAGCAAGAAAATGTGAAAAAAGTGGATTTCACACCTGATGATGATTGCTTGTGTTGCAGTCGAAACGTCGTGAGAATTGTATTGTTTTATATTTTTATTATTTCCCTTCTACGTGACTTTAACGAAAGAACCAATAATATGAATACCAGAACTGTTTCAAATGTATCTTTAGTACCATAACGATGTATGTAATGTTGCTTTTTTTGCATCATCTTATTCTCCCCCCCCCCTACAACTTGTGGGGTTTTCCCGCAGGTGTCTCGTACGTAGTAAAACCCGACTATCGTATAAATCAGCTCACTCGGTCAAATAACGAGCTGAATCCAATTTTATATGACGCACTCATGACAAAAGCAGTAAAAAAAATGTGTAACAACCCCACTGCACCATGCACTGTGATCAATCTGTTGGGTGGGCCTCTCTTCTGCTGGCCAGTTTCAAACTCCCCCTTAGCCCACACTCTCTTGCAGCCACAAGTTCAAAGCCAAATACCACACTCCTCTTCTCGATAATGAATCTTTGTTGTTATCCATTGTATTCGCAGTGAAAGCAGACGACTGAAACTTGTTTTTATACCATTTCGAGGTGAAGATAATTGTTTCTGCACCCCTTAAGAGTTGTAATGGTTTAAAAAAAATCAAATCAGTATAGCCTATTGACAGTATAGCCTATTGACAGTATAGCCTATTGACAGTATAGCCTATTGACAGTATAGCCTATTGACAGTATAGCCTATTGACAGTATAGCCTATTGACAGTATAGCCTATTGACAGTATAGCCTATTGACAGTATAGCCTATTGACAGTATAGCCTATTGACAGTATAGCCTATTGACAGTATAGCCTATTGACAGTATAGCCCATTTTCTATCTCATATCACCTTTATAAAAAGAACAAAGGACTCGTTAGAACGCCACGAACAGAAGAACCAAAAAAATCCCTTATTAATAACCACTGCACACACTGTTCATGATTATGCTTGCCTCTGCTCCAGCCTCCACTGCCATTACAATTGTACACCAGCTCCAAGAAACAGCCTTAAATCTCCAAAGGCACGTGAGTGAACTTGGATAATCTACAACGCTTATTGTGGATAAAAGCCTTTTACCTAATTACCCAGAACGAGAGGTAAGCAGAGTTAAGTCCTGGATAGTGCTTGGATGGGTGACCACCACGCACAACAGGTTGTAATAGGTGTGCTACGAGATGGTCAGCAGATTTGCGACTGTGGTCATCCAGAAGAGACCATACAATATATAACGACGCAATGCCCGATCCACAAATACATTGCAGTGATGATAAAAAGCACTGCTGACTGATGTGGTTATCTGGACTTGACCACCAGAATGTGAAATTGTAGTTTTTGCTCTGCATCTACGTCAGCCGTACGAAAGAAGCAGCAGCAAATGACCTGTGCAAAAGAGATGCAAACGTTGATGCTCGAAACATTCACTCAACCCACACTGACCAGCAGAGTAAACTATGATCAAATAACACCAAAGGCCCGCACGATGTAAGAAAGCCTTCGTCTGTGCATATAAATAACAAATCCTTTTGTATATTTGCAATGAGAAGCAGACGAACCAGAGCTGCCAGCTCAGTATTGAAAAACCAACTTGGAAATACTGTGCTTGTCATTCAGACGCTGGTAAGGGTTAGGGCTGGGGGTTAGAGGTTAAGACTGAGGTTAGGGGATAGGGTTAAGGGCTAAGTCTACGGGTTGGGATATAATTACGGTGGTGTTGGGGTTTGGGTAAGCGCTCGGGTTAGGGGCAGTGTCAAGAACAATGTTAAGGTGACGGCTAATGTTAGGACTGCGTTTATGGACAAGGGCAAGGCCAGGATTAGAAACGAAGTTATGGTTACGAATGGGATTAAGGATAGAATTATATTTATTATACCAAGCTTGAGGCTAGGTTAAACGTTGGGTATAGATGGGACGGAAATTAAAAAGGTTAGGGCTAGATGTATGGCTAACGGTTTAGCCTGGTATAACATCAGGGTAAGGAGTTAACATTTTCAGCCAATTGGGTCAAGCTCGCATACTTAAGCGTTATTTTGAAAAAAAAAATTACATTTCTGGAAACGAAGTTCAACATCCATTTTACCGATGCGGTGGTGTTAATTCCCCCCCCCCCTGTCACAGCCCTTGGCTCCAGTTTCCCGATGCCCTCGAAGTCCCCATGGCCCCCAAGCACTTGTGCCCCCATGCCCCATTTAACCGAGCCCTGTGTCTCCGATGTCCATGACCCCCCCCCCCCGTCTGTGCCATGCGGCTGCCGTGCGTGCAATCTGTGCCCCCCATGTCCCCGCTTCCAATGACCCGTGGTCTGTCTCATGTGCTAGGTTTGTGTGACCCGTGGTCTGTCTCATGTGCTAGGTTTGTGTGTCCCGTGGTCGTCTCATGTGCTAGGTTTGTGTGACCCGTGGTCTGTCTCACGTGCTAGGTTTGTGTGTCCCGTGGTCTGTCTCATGTGCTACATTTGTGTGTCCCGTGGTCTGTCTCATGTGCTAGGTGTGTGTGTCCCGTGGTCTGTCTCATGTGCTAGGTTTGTGTGTCCCGTGGTCTGTGTCATGTGCTAGGGTTGTGTGTCCCGTGGTCGTCTCATGTGCTAGGGTTGTGTGTCCCGTGGTCTGTCTCATGTGCTAGGTGTGTGTGTCCCGTGGTCTGTCTCATGTGCTAGGTCTGTGTGTCCCGTGGTCTGTCTCATGTGCTAGGTCTGTGTGTCCCGTGGTCTGTCTCATGTGCTAGGTTTGTGTGTCCCGTGGTCTGTGTCATGTGCTAGGGTTGTGTGTCCCGTGGTCTGTCTCATGTGCTACATTTGTGTGTCCCGTGGTCGTCTCATGTGCTAGGTTTGTGTGACCCGTGGTCTGTCTCATGTGCTACATTTGTGTGTCCCGTGGTCGTCTCATGTGCTAGGTTTGTGTGACCCGTGGTCTGTCTCATGTGCTAGGTGTGTGTCCCGTGGTCTGTCTCATGTGCTACATTTGTGTGTCCCGTGGTCGTCTCATGTGCTAGGTTTGTGTGACCCGTGGTCTGTCTCATGTGCTACATTTGTGTGTCCCGTGGTCGTCTCATGTGCTAGGTTTGTGTGACCCGTGGTCTGTCTCATGTGCTAGGTGTGTGTGTCCCGTGGTCTGTCTCATGTGCTACATTTGTGTGTCCCGTGGTCGTCTCATGTGCTAGGCTTGTGTGACCCGTGGCCTGTCTCATGTGCTAGGTTTGTGTGACCCGTGATCGTCTCATGTGCTAGGTTTGTGTGACCCGTGGTCTGTCTCATGTGCTAGGTATGTGTGACCCGTGTTCGTATCATGTGCTAGGTTCGTGTGTCCCGTGCCTGTGGGCCCTCCCCCCCGGTCTCACCTGGCCCGCACAGCCTGCTCAGGTGGTAGGGGTTACAGCACACAGAGTCGCCCTCGACGTGGCCATGCTGTCCGCACACGCTCAGCCTCTTCAACTCGGCCGTGTGCCGCACCTCGGGCCAGCGGAACAGCCGGCAGAGTAACACGTGCGGCGGCGGTAGCGGGAGACCGCAGTCGGCGTCCGTGACCGAGGGGCCTCCGAGACGGGGCGACGAGCGGGTGGCCGAACCCTCGACCGGCACGAGCACGCAGGCCGTGCGGGCCCCTCCACGGCTCTCCACGGCCTGCAGCAGCGCCTCCAGCTGCTTCTCCTTGAGGCGCTTGAGCAAGGCGTGCGTGAGCGCTTTGTAGGCAGAGCAAGCGGCTCCGTCGTCCCTTCCTTCTCCCCCCCCGCCGCCACCGCCGCCGCCACCGTCCTCCTCCTCCTCGTCGTCGTCCTCTTCGTCTCCGCGTCCACGGCGTCTCCGCGTTTCGGTCGCCTCCTCGCACCTCATGCTCGACGACAACGCCGACAGCAGCAGGGACGACGGCGGAGACGACGGGGACGAGGACGACGACGGGGACGACGGGGACGACGAGGCTGCGGAGGCTCGGCCACGCCACAGTCGCCGGACGAGGCCCGAACGCCGGGAGCGGAACATGCGAGGAGGCGAGGCCGGGGGGGCGGCCGGGGAGGAGGTCGGGGGGGCCGGGGAGAAGGCCGGGGACGAGGCCGGGCGGGCGGGCGGCCCTAGCGGGGCTGGCGGCGGCGCGACCGCGGCCCGGCGGGGGCAGGGCGGCGGGGCCCGCGGGCATGGGGCACCATCCAGACCTCCGGGGCCCCGACGAATGGCGACGAGCGTCTGGGTCGCACCACCCCCGCCGCTCCTCCTCCTCCTCCCCTCCAAGCCGCCTCGGGCTCCGACCGCCCCCCCCCTCGGCGGTGGTGGAGGAGGCAGAGGCAGCGACAGCAGCAGCCCCCCCGGGGACCTCGTGGGGGGCACAGAGCTCGCTGACCTGACCCCCCCTCACCCCCTCGGACACCCACTCACTTCTAGCCCGGAGCCTAACCTCTACTGCAATGCCTGAAGCCGACACACGAATCTGCCTCGGTACTAATTCTTATGCCGATTCTAATTACCAGCCCTTCTTACAAAAACATTAGCGGGTAATCTAGCTACCAAGCAGCCTATATGCTGTTATCTTTGCAAGGAATGTTAACCTCGCCAAGACTCCAACCTGAAGTTAACCCACCCCGGCCCCTTGACGCCGACTACAACCGCAGTTCAGCTCCACGCCGTGACGACTTTAATCCCTCTTAGCCCCGACGACTTATTAGCCCTTCTTACCAAAACATTAGCGGGTAATCTAGCTACCAGCCAAACTATTGCCAAGAATGTTAACCTTACCAAGACTCCAACCTGAGGTTAACCCAACTCGTAACGCAGATAACCTTTACCCGGATTCGAACCTCTCTCACTGCCGCCCCACGGCCCCCCACGTGCACGAACCTCCCGGGGCGGATTTATAAGTGACCATAAAGCTAACAATGCTAACTAAACTAATCTACTAAAAAAAAACCTCGTGAAAATTGTTGCATATAAAGTAAGTTGGCGTGTTACGAAGTAACACAAATGGGGGTTGTGGCTAAAATGAAAAAAAAAAACTGCCAGCGGCTTCGGCCGTGTCGCTATCGCTTGCTAACGCGCATGGTAAAGCACCGATGATGTTAGTTAGAACGCATTAATTAAAACTAACGAGGCACTGACCACTCGAGGCATTAAGGCCACGATGAGTAGCTCTCTACGACCAGCAGGGCATTTATAAGGCGGCGGTGGAGGAGGAGGAGGCGGCGAACGTCGCTAGCGGAAAAGAATAACGTAAATAAAACATTAATTTAACCCCCTAACTAAAAAATAATTTTACCCCGAATCGATGCAAACTTTTCGGAAAAAAAACTACCCCTGGAAGAAAGAAAAAAATGACATCAAAGATAACGATGATATTCTAACTATAATAATAACAATACTAATGGTTAAATGGGGAACAAGCGGAGCACGGGGCGAAAGCAGTCGCGTGCGTGCGCGCGATCCCGCGAGTGTGCGCGTGGGGGGTGTGGGGCGGGGGGTGTGGGGGCGGAGCCACGGGGCTGTGGGGGCGGAGCCACGGGGCTGTGGGGGCGGAGCCATAGGGCTGTGGGGGCGGAGCCACGGAGTGTGTGGGCGGAGCCACGGTGGTGTGGGCGGAGCCACGGGGTGTAGGGCGGAGCCACGGGGCTGTGGGGGCGGAGCCACGGGGCTGTGGGGGCGGAGCCACGGGGTGTGGGGGCGGAGCCACGGGGCTGTGGGGGCGGAGCCACGGAGTGTGGAGGCGGAGCCACGGTGGTGTGGGCGGAGCCACGGGGTGTGGGGGCGGAGCCACGGGGGCGTGGTCTTGTTTTAAAGGGGACGTGACCTACGGGGTAAGTGAGGGAGGGGGGCTTTAACCCCCCCTCCCTTCATCTTCTTGGTTCTTTCGGTAAAGTCACGTGACTTTACCGAAAGAACCAAGAAGATGAATCCCTGCAGTCACGAAAGCTTTAAATCGATAAATCCCCCTCCCTTCACTTAGGATTTCTTATACGGAGTTTGTACGGGAGAGGGGGGGGTAAATCTTGACTTAAAGCTTTCGTGACTGTAGGAATTCATATTCTTGGGTCTTTCGGTAAAGTCACGTAGATAGGTTCAAATAAAAGAACAACAAAAATTACGACGTTTCAATCGCAACACAAGCAATCGTCATCAGGAGAAAAAAAAATATCAGGAAAGCTGCTGAGGCTGGATGTTTTAAAGGTTTTAAATTAGTGTAGCCCAAGGGTCATAAGCGAGTGATGTTAAAGTGATACATTTGCACGAATTTTATGTACTGTGTTAAATCGAACCTGGATTTTGTGTTTGCTCATGATTTCCAAAATGATTTCCAAAATCATGAGCAAACTCTAAATCCAGGTTAGATTTAACACAGTACATAAAATCGTGATTTTGGAAATCATGAGCAAACACAAGATCCAGGTTAGATTTAACACAGTACATAAAATTCGTGATCTGATCCCATCTGTGAAGAATGTGATCCCTGACATGCAATACCCCGGCGTCTACAAACTAAGCTGTGTCTGCGGCAGTAGTTACATTGGGGAAACTAAGCGACATGTCTCGGACCGTGTTCGTGAACACAAGGCAGATCTGAAACACGGTAGGACCAATACCTCGGCCGTGGCTGATCATTGTTTTAATGCGGTGGGCTCACACTAAATTGATTTCTCTAAGTCGAAGGTACTTTGCAAGCCCACTGGCTATCAACAAAGATTCGTTCATGAAGCCATCCATATATATCGACACAGACACAATTTAAACCGAGAAGATGAGTACAAAGTGAGCAATCATTGGAAGGACATTATTAACCAGTTTCAGTCATAACTGGCTGGGATGTTTCCATCCTACCTTCCGATGTTAGTAGTTATTTTCGACTCTCTGGTTTTACATGAACAGGTTAAATGTCTTTACATTAACAGGTTCAATGTCTCACTAACAGCCATCGTTGCTCGTTCTCCTGGATGTGGCGGTGGCTCTGCGATCTTACATTGACATGCTAATTGATTACATTAACATCACTAGCCCCGCCCACTTCGCTGATGACCCTTGGGCTACATCCATTTCAAACCTTTAAAACATCCTGCCTCAGTAGCTTTCCCGCAATTGTTTTGTCCTGATGACGATTACTTGTGTTGCGATCGAAACGTCGTAGTTTTGTAATTTTTTTGTTTTTTATTTGAACCTATCTACATGACTTTACCGAAAGACCCAAGAATATGAGAGGGAGGGGTTAATACTAAAAGAGGGCGGGACCTAACAGGAGAGCTCGCATTACCATTGGCTGCGAACCTAACAGGAGAGCTCGCATTACCATTGGCTGCGAGCGGCTACAGGCCACGCCCTCTTAAACCCGAACTCCTCCCCTCAACCCCCCTCGCCCACTTCCCCCCACCCACCCCCCAGCGCCCCCTCCCCCCTCCCCATAGTCTAGACTCGGCGGCGCGCGCGGGAAGAAAAAAAACACGCGGAGGGGGGGCGGGGTGGGGGGTAGGGGGGGGGCTCGCGTTACCCGCGCGCCCAGACCCGTGCAGCAGAGCGGCCGAGCCGATCGATCGATAGATCACGTGGCGCCCGGTAGGGGGCGGGCAGTGCGGGGTAGAGGGTGGTGGGGGGAGGGGTAGAGAGAGGGTGGTGGTGCAAGCATTGAGATTGGGGTTACGTGGGGGTGAGACAGGAGAGAAGACTGTTTGATGTCCTTTATTTAGCCGCCGGTAACTCATTTGAATTTATCGTATACTTTTACAATGTAAGGGATCCACGAGTCGTATGTCCTGGAGTTTTTTACCAGTGATTTTTGCATTTTTTGTCTTTTGCCCTGTTCCAAATTTGTGCTATCGGCGTTCATCTGAAAGAATTTTTTTTTTAATCTTACCAGGTAAGGCCCACAAAAACTTTATTTCAGAAGCGATCGGGCCACAAATGATAGCTCAAGGAAGTGGCTTATCATATGGGCAATTATAGCAGCCAAATACTCAACGAATGAGACAAACAATCCAGAAGTCTTGCAGAACAGTCGAACCGTTCGTGTTAGAGAACGACCCACAGAAGTGGATATCACAAAGCTACTTCTGAGATCCCTTTAAGTAACCTTTGTTCTACACAGCAGATGGCAGAATTTGCCTACACACTGTGCCATATGAGTGGTCAAATGGCAGTAAAAGCAATATTTCACTTTTAATGGATGAGATTTTGAACAATTATATATTTTTCCATTTAAGAAATTGTTGTTGACGAATGTGTTTTGAGATTTTTGTGCATTGTTATTTTGCACCACTGCCATCATCAAATAATGTGTCCCCTTTATTCATTCTAAATATCCCCACTACACTTACCTTGCCACCACACCTGATAGGGTATCTACTAATTTCTGCACCAAATATTTTACCATCCATATGATTGGTCACATGCACGTTAATCCACTGCTGGATGAGAGTTTCCCCTAGGAGGAGCTAGATAGATAGTGATGCCTTTGGGAGGCCAACATCCAGATGGAATTATCTCTGCTTGTTTCTATGTATTGCATTTGTATCAAGGTCAATGTACAAGCCTTTAGGCCTTTTGGGCTGGGATTAATTCCACAGACAGATGGAATTAATCTGCCCTTTCAATAATCCATATCTAAAACACAATCACTACAATGGCACGTACTGCACTGTATATCGCATGTGCCAGATTTTGCAATCCTCTGTCTGTTTATACTATACTTTCACTGTTATCACAATTTACAATAGATTAGGTGTCAATATGCAGGATTTAGAACACGATTAATGATAACAATGAAGTTAAATGAATTGTCTTTTTATCCAAAATAAGAAAAATCTCAGAATTTCCCAAACGAAGGTGTTCACCAGGTCATGAAGACGTCTCACGTGACACACGTGACTTAAATTGGTGCACGTATTTCAAAGCAGAAATGCACGTCATATTGTTTGAGGGGCCTATTACCGAATCGCCTGGAATGTGCCTGATCTCATCAGATCTCTGAAACTAAGTAGGGTCGAGCCTGCATAGCGTTTCGATGGGCAACCTCCGTGCACAGCAGGTTGTTATCGGCCGTTGTTACTGAGGTGAACAGAAAAACCCCATTGTTGTACTGCACTCTATACTCCCGCGTCTCTCTTCCCCATTGTCATCAACCTGCATTGATAACCCTTACGACCCACATTGGTATGGCGAGGCCATCATCCAGCAGTGGACTGAGGAAGGGCTGTGCATGTACACGTATACAATCGTGCGGATGGTATCGTAGTGGGAGTGTAAATGAAACACAGCATGAAAGAGCGCCATCTACTGTTGGTTGAACAGCCAATCGGAGAAACTCTAGAACTCGGACAAGTGTCTATGTCATCTTGTGGACCGCTGCCCTGGAGCAGTGGTCTTCGTTGCAAGGCCCGTCGGCCACTGGTGACCCCTGGTGACCTTTAGTGCGGCCCCTGACGTGGGCCCCCGACAATACGCAAATGTGAAAACACCCCATGATGATGTCAAACTCCAATGGTCTCAAATGGTGTGGCGGCCCTCATACTGATGATGTCTTGTCGGCGAAAGTGTCCTCCCCCCGAAAATTAGTGAAGAACACTATTTCTGGGTCATTACCTGCAGTGAAACGGCAGTTTCCAGTAAATGTCGTGGAGGCTTTGGAAAAGAGAAGACAGGACTGGATATTTACGAAGACATGAGATGGGTATATTGTAGGGGTCGGCAACCTGTGGGTCTGGACCCGCATGCGGCTCTTTAAGGACTGCTTTGTGACGTTGTTTATTAAGGACCATCTTCTCGTATTCACGTGCATTGCGGCTCTTGAAATATGTTTTTTAAATTTTGGTTAAACTAAACCTGGTATATACGAACGCATAGATACATACAGTAGTATCTATTAACCGACCCAGGCAGTGCCAAGCCATGGACACTATTGATGATGTTGACGATGATGGATTTCCAAGTTTAAAATTTTCCTTTAAAATCGTGATTTTCCGATAAGCAAATCACCCACAATGTACCAAATCTCAACAGATGGTGGGCTATCAGCATGGTTGAGCCTGGTTAGTGCTTGGGTGGGAGATGGCCTGGGGTTACCAGGGGTTGTAGGCTTTGGGGCTTCAAAACACTCAGGCGATGTCAGTAAAGCAATGGGTTCTCGACTCTGTGCGGAGCTTTTAGTGTCACCCCCTCCGATGCATGGTTGGTTTTTTTGAGTATGTACAGTACTCCAGTTTTCTTCCACATACCAAATACTCATTAACTAAACTGGTCAAACATCCCAACGCAGGACCCTTATGAATAAAATCATTGGCATTTTGATCAAACGCTCTCAATATATATTTTTCTAACGTAAATTGTAGAATCTTAAAACTGCATTGGTGTTATTAGTTCACGCACAGCCCCTCGTGAATCTTTGCTGCATTGAGGCCCTCCCCTCACCGTGCAGGTCATAAAAAGGCCCCCATTCGACCATACTTCACCA